TGGAAGAAATGGATAAATTCCTGGAAAACATGTAACCTATCAAAACTAAAGCAGGAATAGAATATTTGAGCAGACCAATTACTAACAATGAAATTAAATCAGTAATCAAAAAACTCCCAGGAAACAAGTCCAGGACCAGATGGCTTCACAGATGAATTTTACCAAACATTTAGAGAAGTTAATACCTATCCTTCTCAAACTATTCCAAAAAATACAAGAGAAAGGAAAACTTCCAAATTCATTCCATGAGGCCAGCATCACCCTGATCATACCAAAACCTGATAATGACACCACAAAAAAAGAGAACCATAGGCCAATATCTCTTAGGAATATAGATGCAAAAATCTTCAACAAAGTATCAGGAAACTAAATCCATTAACACATTAAAAACCCTCTGCAAAGTAGATCTACAGGCAGCATACCTCAAGATAATAAAGACCTTATATGAAACATCCACAGCCAACATCATATTCAATGGTGAAAAACAGAGCTTTTCCCCTAAAGTCTGGAACAAGACAAGAATGTCCACTCTCAGTACTTTTATTCAATATAGTACTGAAAATCTGAGCCACACCGTACAGACAACATGAAGAAATAAAAGGCATCCAAATTGGTAAGGAAGAGGTAAAATTCTCACTATTTGCACTTGACATGGTACCACTTATAGAAAACTCCACCAAAAAATGACTAGAACTGATAAAAAAAAATTCAGTCGCAGGATACAAAGTCAAGATACAGAAATCTATTGCATTCCTATACAGTAATAATAGAGCAGCAGAAAAAGAAATTAAGAAAACAATCTCATTTACAACTGTGCCAAAAACAATAAAATATCTAGGAATAAACTTAACCAGAGGTGAAAGACCTGTAAAATACTGATGAAAGAAATTTAATATGAAGTAAAGAAATGGAGAAACATTTTATGCTCATGGATTGGAAAAAAAAATATTGTTGGGGCGCCTGGGTGGCTCAGTCGGTTAAGTGTCCGACTTTGGCTCATGTCATGATCTTGTGAGATTACGTAGGGCTCTGTGCTGACAGCTCAGAGCCGGGAGCCTGCTTCAGATTCTGTGTCATCCTCTCTCTCTGCCCCCATCCCCACACTCACGCTGTCTCTGTCTCTCAAAAATGAATAAATGTTAAAAAAAAATTTTTTTTAAAAGGAAGAACAAACATTGTTAAAATGTCTGTATTATCCAAATCAGTCTACATATTTAATGCAATCCCTATCAAAAATGCCAATAGCATTTTTCATAGAACTAAAAAAAAAATCCTAAAATTTGTATGGAGCCACAGAAGACCTTGAGTAGCCAAAGCAATCTTAAAAAAGAAAAATCTGGAGGTATCACAATTCCAGATTTCAAGTTACATTACAAAACAGCAGTAATTAAAACTTTATGGTACTGGCATAAAAATACACAAAATAGATCAGAAAACTCAGAAATAAACCCACAATTATATGGTCATTTAATCTTCAACAAATGGTGTTGGGAAAAATGGACAGCCACATGCAAAAGAATGAAACTTGACCACTTTAAAAAAAATTTTTTTTAAATGTTTTTATTTATATTTGAGACAGAGACAGAGAGACAGAGAGAGCATGAGCAGGGGAGGGGCAGAGAAAGGGGGAGACACACAATCTGAAGTGAGATCCAGGCTGTGAGCTGTCAGCACAGAGGCTGACGCAAGGCTTGAACTCCCAGAGCGTGAGATCATAACCTGAGCTGAAGTCAGACGCTTAACTGACTGAGCCACCCAGGCACCCAAACTTGACCACTTTCTTATACCATACACAAAAATAAACTCAAAATGGATTAAAGACCTAACTGTGAGACCTGAAACCATAAAAATCCTTGAAGAGAGCACAGGCAGTAATCTTTCTGACATTAGCTGTAGCAACACTTTTGTAGATGTGTCTCCTGAGGCAAAGAAAACAAACTATTGGGACCACATCAAAATAGAAAGTTTGCGCATAGCAAAGCAAACAATCAACAAAACTAAAAGGTAACCTATGGAATGGGAGAAGATATTTTCAGATACCATATCCAATAAAGGGCTAGTATCCAAAATATGTAAAGAACGTACACAACTCAACAACCAAAACCCCAAATAGCCCAATTAAAAAATGGGTGGAAAACATAGACATTTATCCAAAGAAGACATACAGATGGCCAACAGACACAGGACAAGATGTTCAACATCACTCATCATTAAGGAAATGCAAATCAAAACTACAATATCATAATGGCTAAAATCAAAGACACAGGAAAAAAGTGTTGGCAAGGAGCTGGAAAAAAAGGAACACTCTTGCACTATTGGTGGGAATGCAAACTGGCACAGCCACTGTGGAAAACAGCATGGAGATTCCTCAAAAATTTTAAAATAGAACTACCTTATGATCCAGTAGTCGCTCTACCAGATATTTACCCCCAAAATACAAAAACACTAATTTAACAGGATACATGTATCCTTATGTTTACTGCAGCATTATTTACAACAGCCAAACCATGGAAGCAGTCCAAGTGTCCATCAAAACATGAATAGATAAAGAAGATGTATTCACACACACACACACATGCACATGCACACTGGAATATTATTTAAGTGTAAAAAAGAATGAAATCTTGCCATTTGCAACAAGATAGAGCTAGAGTATAATATTAAACAAATAAGTCACTCAGAGAAAGACAAATACCATATGAACTCATTCATATGTAGAATTTAAGAAATAAGAGGTGCCTGGCTGGCTGGCTCAGTGGGTTGGGTGTCTGAACATTTGATTTTGGCTCAGATGATGATCTCACAGTTAGTGGGTTCATGGGTTCAAGCCTGTGTCGGGCTTGGTGCTGACAGCATGGAGCCTGCTTGGGATTCCCTCTCTCCCTCTCCCTCTGCCTCTCCCCCACTCTCACACACTACCTCTCAAAAATAAATACACATAAAAAAAAAAAGAATTTAAGAAACAAACGAGCGAAAGAAAGGAAAAAAGAGAGAGACAAAACAAGAAACAGACTCTTAACTAAAAGGAACAAACTGATGGTTACTAGAGGGGAGGTGGGTGTGGGGATGGAGTACACTGATCATAATGAAAAAAATAAAATAAAATGATTTAAAAAAAAGAAACAAACACAATACTAAAGTGTAAACAGCTGTAAATGGCATTGGGACTTGGGAGGCAATCAGTCATCTACAACATGAGTGCTGTGTAAATGACAAGTAGTTGTTCTTTTTCTGATCAGAGAAGACCAATGGCCATAAGATCAGTGAGAAACAATGCAAAGCATTATAAAGGAAGTTATGGGTGTTGATTCACTGGAAAAAAATTAGGGTACAGGGAAGACCTTCCTGACTAAAGATGGCTAAAATACAGCCCAGAAGCAAAGGACGATGGAGATGAACACAAGTGCTCTCACCCATGGGGCTGCATGATTGCCAAGCTGCTTTCTGCAAGTCCCTTTTCTCCACTTTTCATTTTAAACTTTTTCTAAGTATTTTAAAAAAGTATTCATTCTCTATGCTCTAAGAATTGATATAAAACTGTCCTCCTTTTTATGCTTTATTATGCTCTAATAATCACCCTGTTATTTATGCTTTTTGCTAATTTTACCACAGCAGCTTTAAAAATCAAACTGCAGGGGTGCCTGGGTGGCTCAGTCGTTTAAGCGTCTGACTTTGTCTCAGGACATGCTCTTGTGGTTCTTCAGTTCAAGCCCCACTTAGGCTCTGTGCTGACAGAGCCTGGAGGCTGCTTCGGATTCTGTGTCTCCCTCTCTCTCTGCCCCTCCTCTGCTCATGCTGTCTCTCTCTCTCTCAAAAATAAATAAACATTTAAATAAATAAATAGACAGACAGATAAATAAATAAATAAATAAATAAATAAATAAAATTAAAGTGCCAAGAAGGGCAGGACATGTAAAATGGTCATAACATTGTTGACTCACACCTGGGAAATGCCCAATCAGGCATAATAAAGAAACTGTAATATCAAGCAAACTATGAAACCATTAATGAAAATGTCAAATCCCTCAAAAATGACATAATATCACAACACTAAGAAAAGGAAAAGACACCATGTTTGGTATCTAAGAAACATTTCCAAAAAGGAAAAGAACTAAAAGACTGTCACAACAAAATATAAACGTAATTCTTTCCAGAGTAAGCTACTGCTGTACAGTTGCTTTGAATGACTACATAATGATTTTCTTGTTAAATTTCCAGATTCTGTTTTTTTTTTTTTTTTTAAAAATTTTTTTTTTTCAACGTTTATTTATTTTTGGGACAGAGAGAGACAGAGCATGAACGGGGGAGGGGCAGAGAGAGAGGGAGACACAGAATCGGAAACAGGCTCCAGGCTCTGAGCCATCAGCCCAGAGCCCGATGCGGGGCTCGAACTCACGGACCGCGAGATCGTGACCTGGCTGAAGTCGGACACTTAACCGACTGCGCCACCCAGGCGCCCCTAAATTTCCAGATTCTGAATTCTCATAATTGAATTGTTTATAAAATGAATGACTTCTTTTCAGGGTCACAAGAAATAACAGGTTTGAAAAAAAAAAAAAAAGGAAAAAAACTCTTGTCAATTCAGTTCTGATGGATCCTGTTTTTCTCAAAACTGATCCTTCAACACATTAGCTTATAAAAACAGGGTAAACTGTATTATTCTGATAATGAATAGAACTAAAATTGTGAAAGACTGAATTAATAATCAGACTTTTTTTTAATCTTCTGGTTTTATTAGTAATTAGAAAGGGAAAAGGGTGGGGGGGTTGGTATCAGTTTGCTTGAAGAAATAAAGAGGGGAATGCTATTATAAAGAGGCACAACACTTTTATGCAAGTCTATCTGTAAGCAGAAAAATGGATTAAGGTACTCTTAAAATGAAATGGAATAACACATTATCACTACTCAACATACAATCCAAATCTTTGTTTAAGGGAATCAAAATCAAGGAAAACAGAGAAAACCTGTGTCAAAATGCTGTCATCTACATACATCCTTACCTATTCTCTGTCTCCAGTTCATTCTTGCGTAGGTTTGCATCATCCAGAAGACTCTGCAATAAGGCAATTTTTTCATTGTCTGAACCCTCTTGGTTAATTTTTAACATCTTATTCTCATGCTGAAGACGAATAAGTTTCTCCCTGAATGAACAAAAGAAAAGCTGATTATGTAGTACACTGATGCAATACTGTTACCAAAATCCAGCTATTCACAGTTACAGATTTAATGCATAGAACAGAAATGAAAAACAAAATACTGCAAAGAATTTAGCTCTTGTAATTGGCTAAGACATTACATTCAGGTCTTCAGTACTTTCTTTTCAGAATGGATAATCTGAAGATAACAGCATCTCCAAACATCATGACTGTAATGAACGATACTTCAAAATTCTATTTCCTTTTTGGTTTAAATATTTAAGCTGTGAATGAATTTATGTATTTGTTTTTCAGTTCTCATCAAAAAACATAATCTCTAATGCTATACTCTTGAACTACCAATCACTTGGTGTCAAGACATAATAGTCAACAAAGAAAGCCTTCAATATATGCAGTCCACCCATTCCTATAAATATGTGAAATTGTATTCTTGTTAACAAGCCATGTTCTCAGAGCTGCATCTGCTATTCATACTTAAGTTTGCACAATCTTTTCATATCATTAAATATTATACCTTAATAATAAATATAACACTTTAAATGACATGTTAAACAACATACTGCAGATGAACTGCTATTTAATCAATGCACAATTATTTGGAATTTGTTATCAATTTTGAGCTTTGATGTGATCAAAGCGATCAGCTTTATTGGTTATTTCCTTAGGATTAATTTCTAGAAAAAAATGACAATCCTGTCAAGTTGCTCAAAACAAAAGTACCACCACAAGAAAAAAAAAAGTTGTAATTATGTGTGGTGATGAATGTTAACTGAACTTACTGTGGTGATCATTTCACAATATAGACATTTCAAATCATTATGCTGTACACCTAAAACTAATACAATGTTATATTTCATCTCTTTTACCATTTCATTTTCTTGATGGCTCTTCTGGAGACAGAGTATATTTGACTTTGTGATGAGTCATACTCAAAAAAGCCATTTTATTTGTTGAATCTTTATCATTGTTCCTTTTCTTCAGGTTAAAAATCCAACTGCATAATCTAAAAGCTTCCTTAAAAACTGTGGTTTTTCTTTTTTTTTTTTGATATAGCCCTGTATTTAGATTCATTCTACAAATTTTATTGGTCCAATAATAAAGTACCACATCAGAAGGTAGAAAAGGAAAAGGCATATAAGATGCTTCCTGTGTTGGTGCTACATTATTCTCCTTTTTATCCTCCTTAAATAAATGCCAACAATAAATATTGTCTTCATTTATTCAACAAGTAACTGAATGCCTATTGTAACTTTCAAAGTTTATGAAACCCTTACACAATCATTTCATTTAATACCCTCCCAAAGATTTTATGAAGAATCAAGGCCAGTGTCAATTTTATTTTATTTTTTTTTACTCGTTTTATTTTTTATTTTTTAAAATTTACATCCAAATTAGTTAGCATATAGTGCAACAATGATTTCAGGAGTAGATTCCTTAGTGCCCCTTACCCATTTAGCCCATCCCCCCTCCCACAACCCCTCCTGTAACCCTCCGTTTGTTCTCCATATTTATGAGTCTCTTCTGTTTTGTCCCCCTCCCTGTTTTTATCTTATTTTTGTTTCCC